CTGAGAGTACTAAGAGTTTAAGCTCGGTGTGTCTTGTAATTCCACTACAGACACCTCTTGCCTCTATATAATCCGAAAATTGACAGTATCTAAAAATAATGAGCCTGATCTGTATGTCTTTTACATGTTGGGGTGACTTTCCCTGTCCATGATCAAGATTTGAACTGTACGTAACACTTACAGCACTATTTTTCTCATAATGCATATCAATTTGTACCACTATGTACCAAATCTGTATCACTCTCAGAACATGTCTTCCAAAAGTACTGGCTTGCAATTAGGTTTTGATTGTATTATCATTCAGGTGCACCAATTTGTGTGGCGAAAGGGTTAAGAGAGAGGATGAGATTCTATCTGGGGTCTTGACTCTTGGTAAGGTCACCTAAGCTGGAATACCCAATACTCAACCTATGGAATGCTCAATGCTCAGTATAGCATCTACACTATTGAATTAATACAGTTTGACACCACTTTAACTACCATGGCTCAATGCTATGGAATTATGGAAGCTGAAGTTTTACAAGGTCTTTAACATTCTCTACCAAAGAGTGGGGAAGGCAATGGCAAACCACCCCAGTATTCTTGCCAAGAAAACTAAATGGACCAGTATCGACAGGGAGCTCTGGCGTGGGCTGGTCCATGAGGTCACAAAGAGTTGGAAATGACTGAACAAATGAACAACAAACAAAAAAGTGTTAGTGTCTCACCAAATTACAAATCCCATGATTTTTTTTTAAATCCGAGCTTTCTCCTGAGGGACTCAAGGCAGTTATATAAAAACTATGATTCCATAGCATTGAGCCGTGACTTGGGTTTGAGTTTATGTCTTACATCTTGGAAAGAGTCTTCCTTTGTTAGGAATCCATCTAATATTACTCCTCTGAGCCTGGCGCTTCCTCTTTTCTAGGAAAGGAGAGAAAGCCATCATCTCCTGCTGCTGTGATGGAGGACACAGAGCTGGAATATTGTTTACACACAGACCTCAGGGAATTTTTTTTCTTAGTGGTGGTCAGTGGCAGATAGTGGCTCCCATTCCAGTGGAGTGGTGAATGCTGTAGTTTTTGCATTTTAACTTGAACTTTAAAGCTGCATTTAAGTCTGAACTTTAAAACATCTTTCCAACGTGCTGAAGTCCTATTTTGCAAACAGATTTAGCACCTTGGACAGTTACAAAGTGAAAGCTAAAACCTCTGTTTTGACAGGTCTTTGAGAACTGATTGTTCATGGGTTAAAGGCTTAATAATGTGATGTAATTCATATTTTTGTTTTCTTTAAAAATAATTATGATTTTAAATTGCTTTTGTCCTATTGACACAGTTTAATATTTTCACTTTTGTATGATGAGTTTTTTATCCGTATTTGTGTTAATTTTTAAATCCACCCTGAGTTGCAGAGTAATGAAAAAGGTGGTAAAGAAAGAAAGAAAGAAGTAGATAGAGCATGTAAAGGATCAAAGGAGGGAAGATAAGATACCTAACATATGTTTCACATGTCAATCTATATACATAGTGCACTGCAGTGCAACGCTGATAAAAATGGAAAGAGGGAAGATTGGAAAGGAAGAAAATGAATAGCTTAAAATATAGGAAACTGTGAGGGCAAACACTATGTAAGAAGGAATAATGAAATGGCACAGAGAAGGCTTCAGTGCAGCTGAGACAGATGGAGAGCTGGAGGTGAGCAGGCATGTGAGAAGATCACATATGGCAAAACTGGTGACCCTTTATGTAGTTTCTCAAGCTGACAGAAGCTGACAGCAAACATGTGCACTGTCAGTCAAACTGAATAATCTTGTGTTAATCTGTTGGTCCCAAGCTCTGCAATAGGGGCGTTTTGACACTAGATGCATGTGTTCACACACAGAACAGCAGATGCCTCAAGAAATTATCATCCATCTTTTCCAATATTGGATTCTTTTAATGGTTCTGTACATGTGTTTTTAATAATACTGTGGAACACAGAAATTGAGATATGGAGATACATTTCTATTTTGCTATGGTGATGTAGTGTGTGGCGATAATGAAAACCTGATGTTAAATGTGTTGGACCACAAATAGCACCTGAAAACCTTACTCCTGAAAAAATGACTTTCATTTCTGCTTTTTAGCACTAACAGAGAGACTTACAGATCGCTTGAATGTAAACCTCTCCCCACCAAAAGAACTTATATATTATGTTACTCTTAGGTGTGTCCCCCCGCCCCACATTTGCTTGTTTCTAAATCAGGTCCCAGAATCCCTGGCTAGGATAGCTGTCTGGAGGGAATTACTTTGAACAAGGTATATACGAGGGTGGGTCAAAAAGTTTTGCCTCCTGTGTCACAAAAAAACATTAGAAATGAACATATAACAGCAGAAGTTGCTACAGATCATAGCCTGAACTATCCTCCAAACAAAACTACCATTCAACATAGTCACCATCAATTTGTACACATTTGCACCATTGTTTAATCCAGGCATCAAAATTATTTTGGAAAAAGTCATTGTTTTGCTTCGTGACTCATGCTTTTATAGCTGTTTTAACATCATCCAAGTCATTCAATCTGGAACCTCGTAGGTTGTCTTTCAGAGGACCTCTGGCTTCTCTGCATAGTCTGACACTGAATGACATTAAAACAGCTTTAAAATCATTGGTCACGAAGCAAAACCCTGAATTTTTCCAAAATGGGTTTGATGCCTGGGTTAAATGATGGCGCAAATGTGTACAAATTGATGGTGATTATGTTAAACGGTAGTTTTGCATAGAGCAGTGGTTCTCAGACTCTGGGTCCCCAGATACTTTGGCCTTCAACTCCCAGAAATCCCAACAGTTGGTAAACTGGCTGGGATTTCTGGGAGTTTTAGGCCAAAACACCTGGGGACCAACAGATTGAGAACCACTGGTGTAGAGGATAGTTCAGGCTATGATCTGTAGCAACTTCTGCTGTTATATTTTCATTTATAATGTTTTTATGACACGGGAGGAAAAAAATTTTGACACACCCTCATATAAAACAATTAGCTCAAACAAGCCAGAATCAAACCTTGGCTTACTATCCTGCCTTGTTAATTTAAATCACATTTTCAGTAATTTTGGCAGAAATTCCTGTTATTAAGGCATGGCAGTATTTTCCAACACATAGACATTATGTATCTATGAAACAAAGATATTGGCTAAATCACCTTTTCATCCACTTACAAACGAAGTGGGATGTCAGTACCCACAGGGTGGGCAGTTTGTGGCTTTTTGAATGCCATCATATTGCAACTCCCATTGGCCCTAGCCAACAAGCCAAAGGAGATGGATGGAGGCTGTAGTCCAAGAATATCTTGATAACCATACATTGCCCACCTTTGGCCAACATAATGCTAGGAGCACTATAAAGGCTCCTCCGAGGAAGTTCTGCTGTCTCCAATGTTCTCCTAATACAGCTCTCCCCAAATGCACTCCAAAGTACAGCTGGGATCAGCATTCTCAGAAGCATGTTTGCTTCTGCTGAGAGGCCTGACACTTTGTAATTGGTGGCATTAAACAGTGATGTCACCTGGAGGATTAGGAGGACTTGGAGTATTTCTAGAGGATGAATAGCCTTTCTGAAATTTTTCTGATCAAAGTGAGTAGAAGATAACTTCATGGTTTCGAGGCGGAGTCCCCAATACTGTAAGTTTTATATTTAAATCTCTGCATCTCATAGTCAATAGAACAGGGAGGGAAGGAAAAATATGTTGTGGTTCTTGCTTTAGAATTAGAAACCTTTAAGAATGCACTGAAACCTTGTTTAAATGTTATTGTACATTGATCTCTGAAGTTAAATGAATTCACAAGCAGTAAAGATGATATCGTTTGAAATTGCTGATCTTTCCTTTTTTTAAAAAAGTCAGATGTAGTAGCTCTTTGTTCACTAGATTAACTGTGTTTTGAGCATGTAGGCAATACTGGGTGAGTTTTGTCACTTTTTCCTTAGGCCTTTCCTTAGCAATATTTTGATCTACCAGTTGGCGGTTGTGGTCATATGGGTTGATGTGTTTGGCTGGGTTTGCTGAGAAATATTCCTAACAGAGTTCTTTGAAGTATTTCAAACATTGCTAGGCAATGAGAAAGGGAAATTTGAAGGAATACATACATGGCTGAGCTTGGTGGTGATAATTCTACAAATGCTCTATTAAACCAGTGGGAGATTTGCACTTGACATCATTTGGAGGAAGATTTTCCAATTTCAGTGACTGCTGGATAACCCTATTTTTTACTACTGGAAGAGATAAGAAGAGGAAAAGACTTTTGTCATGTTGATGCTGGAAATATTCATTATGAGCAGCTGGAACAAGTCATCCCAAAACAGGAATAAATCTGCAATATGCTTCTGGAATCACATCTGAAGGTGGATTAAATAATTTCTAGGTAGGAAACTGGTAGGAGGAACTCATAGTAGTACCATACTATTTGTCTGATGCACACTGCCAGATTGAGAAGAATCTAAATAGCTCCTTCTGATGACTGGATTTTGAGACTTTGTGGAGATCTCAGAACATACCACAATGGGTCCACTGTCATCCACTATGGAACACTTAAGGTTGCAATTTTTACATGGTTAGTCCTGCTTTTCCATGGACCTGCAAAATGTTACTATTGGACATAGAGCACATATAGAAGGGTCTCCATTTAAAAGCTCAGCGCAACCCATCTGGAGTTCAGGGTCTTCTTCTGCTATAAAATATAATGCCTGTTTTGCCTTTCCTGGAGGATCAGTGATTAAAGTTTTGAAAGGGATGGATTAAGAAGAGACGATTTGCCATTCGCACACAAGCCTTCTTGTTTACACGACAAAGCGAAGAAGCAGAAGGAAGATTAAGTTGAAGGGTGAGTTTCCACCTGACAGCATCACACTAAGAACATTATCATTGCCAATTGCATTAGATGAAATTAGCCATCTACGTCAGCAAGGTCATTACACAATGGATCACCTCTTACACTAAATAGGGATCTGTCAGAATCAATTAGAAAATGCTGAGCTTGAGGCTGGAGGCTGGAGGCGGAGGATGAAGGTGGGAAGAGAAAGGACACTTAATTGCACAGCCATTTCCAGCGACATTTTACTTCTAATGCCTGCAGCTGGTTTGTTCATCTCAGAACTGTGCAGGGATTTGGTAATAACTACAGGCAACTAAACCAGCAGAATTGCTGTTGAACATTCCTGAGAGAGGTAAGTTTCAAAGGATGAAAAGAGGACCTTAAAGACATGATGCTAAAGATCAAAGCCAAGCCAAGAGACTTAGTTAAGGCACTTAATATAGTACAATGCTAGTGAAAATTTGAGCACACAAACTCGAGTAAAGAAATCAATGGTGTGCTTTTGCTTGATTAATTTTTGCTGATGACTCAGAATCATGGTTCGCAATAATTAGCAAATAGTTTTGCTAAAAAACCAAGTGGTACATTTTGATTTTTTCAGGAAATCTAGCAGTGAAAATAGTTTATTTTTAAACTTGTTCAAAGGAGAAAAGGGCAGTGGAAAATCCAATAATAGGCTTCTCATTGAAATGTTTTTTCTACTTTTGGTTATAATACTAAAAGTCTAAGCTGAGGATGAATGTGGAATGAAAATCCTTCAAATAAGGCTGAACTTAAGGACAAATGGTTGTGCTTAAGACACCATAGAGGTCTGTTTGCACTGATTCAAACTGGCACAGCCCCATTGGCTTCAGCAATGATAGGATGAAGGATTTCAGTGCTTGGAATTAATTCTCAGCTTTGCTGTAAATGTCCATGATTAGATTGTTTTGTGTTTCCATCTCAAGATTGGCAAGGAGTTATCTGGGAAATGTGGTAGCAGGTTTCATTGTATGTAATCCTATGCATATTTTATTCTGCAAGCAACCTTGCATACTTCTCTAGGAAAAAGGCAGGACAAAAATAAAGTGATTGATTAATTGATGTTTACTTGAACAAATGGTCTTTTGGGTTGACTTTAACTTCCAGAAGAAGGATGCATGAAAAAATGGTGTGTGTGTGTGGTGGTATGTGTGTGTGTGTGTCGCTTCTGGTCTGAGAGAATTGGCTATCTGCAAGAACATTGCCTAGGAAATGCCCCATATGTCTTACCATACTGTGGGAGGCTGCTCTCATGTCCCTGCATGAGAAGCTGGAGCTGATGGACTGGAGGCCACCCCACACCTCGAATTCAAATCGCCAACCTTTCAGTCAGCAGTCCTACTGGAACAAGGATTTAAGCCATTGCACCACCGGGGGCTCCTATGAGAAAATGGCAACTATAAATGACAAACCACTGCACATTTACTTGGGTGTAAGACCTAGTGAATTCAAAATGCTGAATGACAGGCAGCATGTCATATATACATCTATAGGAAGCATGAAATTTGAAGTATGTCCTAAAGGTTTGTGGTAGCCAACAACATGTGCCCAAAATATTGGTACCTCACTTTCTTCATTCTCAAAAGCAAAACAAACAAAAGCATGCAAAATCCTCCAGGGTTTTTTGCTTGTTCCTTTTGCTCTTTACCATGTCAACATGTACTAAATGGAAACAAAGCAAAACCGATTGTTTGTTATGATCCTTTGTTTATTGAGACAGTGCTTTCTGCCAGAGAAGACAACAAGCTTGAACAAAGTGACAGCCAAAGTATTTTTGTTGTCTCATAAACAGGCCATGTAATGATTCATAATGATAGTGAATAATTGGATGATTGTGAATTCTGGTCTTCTTAAGTTCAATAACTTTACCCTTATTTTTCAAATGTTAGTATTACAAAAGAGTTGGCTTGCTTTTCAGAAAAGGTTTAGATGATAAATATCCCCCTTTATGTAATGTCTACAAGTTGTTTCCTTCTAAGACATCCTGGGATTTGCATTCATGCTTTTATAAGCTAGAGATATAACATCCCTCCCATGATAAGATGTTATGCTGTTGTATTAGTGTGATACTCAGGGATCAAAAGATTAGACATGCGCTCAGATACGTTGGGGCTAATTTTGTCTCTTCTCAGTAGGGGGCATAATAAAAGGAAACATCTAGAATAAAGAGTTACATAACTTGTGTAAGGAGTCATAAATGGGAGCTAGTGACGTGTCATGGGAGGAAAGAAAGCACATGTTCTTTTTGCCCTCTGGAACAAGGCAGCTGTATCCTAATATTTTTGATATTCTTTACATAAAAACAGAAAAGTTAAATCTTTTTTGTAAAGTGATTTTTTAGTGTAAATTAGAACATTGGTCTGTGTCTGGCAAAGTGGGAATCCATAAACAGTTAGCACATTAGCTGAAATTGGGCAATGCCCATATTTGTTGTAGTAGTTATTGTTTAGGATTTGTAAGGAAAACTAGAAAGATTAGAAATTGAACAACTGCCAATGAACACAGAGCAGCTTCTCCTTAAGTTAATGTGTAAAGGAAAAAAACAGCAAGTGTGACTTTTATCACCTCTGCTCAGCAAGCAATTTTGATCCCTCTTCCAAAATTTATCTTCTATCCAACCCATAAAGTATAGCTATACTGATGATATAGAAGACGTGTTCCCATGCACATAAAATCATGCTGGCTCTCAGAAAGAAGGCACGGATGTGTAGTTAAAAGAAGAAGAAAATTGCTGAGTTCCATGTTACAGACAGGGTTGAAAAAACAATCATCAGAATAATAATAATAATAATAATAATAATAATAATAATAATAATAATTCTTACTCGCCTCTTTTAGTGGCTCAAGGTGGGTTACAGCATATGTTTTCAGGACCTAGAAGGCTAAAGGTCCTTGGTTACTATTTTCCTGTGAATGACTCTTATAACTCTAGCCTAGCTGCAAGCTTCCCTAGCCCAGTCTCAGCCTATCTGGTTATATGCCATGCTTGTCTAAGATACGGAGGATCTTTTCAACAAAACATCCAGTGTGTTCAATTTCCATCTTACTATGTAAAACAATGTCATGAACTGCCCCTCAATCAATAAAATGAATCAGTTGTTCCTCCTCTGTTTTGGGTGTTTGAAACATAAATAAGTAATAACAATAATATCAACTTTTTGTAGGTCAGGTCAGAGTATTTCCCCATCTGGGTCATGTGGAGCATATCCAAAAGGAACCTCTGAACTACAACAATGGCCCAGGGGAACAGTATGTTGGCCGCAGGCCACAAGATTTCCATTCCTTATCTAGCTCCTTATTGTTTACCTGGCCTGGTAATGGCTCTTGAGATCTGAGATGGAGTATTTCTCATCATTTGGAACCTCATTGTTAACCTGTAAATGCCAAGGATTGAAACTGTGACCTTCTGGATGTAAAGCATGTGGTCCACCAAAAACAATTTCCTGATAAGAACAAGTAAATGGAAATACAGAAGGATCGCAGTCAGCCACATAATTACTACATTGTTCTTAAATTACCACCTGGTCTTATCAGCCAGGAGCTCAGCAATTTACAGATAGATGGCTCAGCAGAGCTAGGCTGCTACATTTGCTTATCTTATTCAACTGAGGAGGAAAGAACATGTTGAGAAGTAGAAAAGTAACCTGCATGGAAAGAATTGTCCCATTTCCTGAACATTTTATGCTTTTGAAAGTATGCAACATGCTGTCCCTGTTGAATGTATGACCTATGCATAAGGAAGGAAGGCAGGCAGGCAGGGAAGGGAAAGTCTACCAATTTAAATCATACACTATCAATGGCACCTCCGTGGCCATTCTCTGTCTGGTGAAAAGGGGGAGGAGATCAAAGAGGTATCTGGTTATGTCCCTCTAATCCAGTGGTTCTCAACCTGTAGGTACCCAGGTTTTGGTCTACAATTCCCAGAAATCCCAGCCAGTTTACCAAAACATTTGGGGACCAACAGGTTGAGAACCACTGCTCTAATCAGATGTAGAGTAAGTACACCATGCACTGAAATTCACTGGAGGCTCACTGCCATTGGTTTCCATCTGGCTACAAGGAAATAGACACTTCTCCAATCTATCCCTGCTACTAGCCATTGAATCGTCACTTTGTATGGTTGCAGCACCCAATTCATAAGTCCAGGTGAGGGTCAAAGACTATACCAACCTCCACAAGCAACAAAAAAGATATGTATTTGGCACGTGTCACTAACAGGATTTTAGCCAAAGCACTGCATCTTGCTTTTTTAAAAAAATACTGACATCCATATGAATGCTCGGATATTCAGAGTTATAGAGTAGAGAACACAGGAACTAAATTAATTGAGGGCAAGACTCCTAACATTTTGAAATATTGATAGCTTGGTAAGGGAAGCTTATCAAGTCACAGTTCCACAGAACAAAGTATCACACTCCTCTCAAATTCCCCATTTATTCAAAGTTATACAAGCTTTGTTCTCCACTAAATCAGGTCAGTGTCTCTGGATTTCTTCAAGACTGGAATAGTAACCAAGAACATCTCTATTCTCTTACCTCTCCAACTGTCATGGCATCAAATATCATAAGTGATCAAATATTGTCACCTGATCATTAATTGTGTTATTTCTCTTCCAGAGAGAACAGTCTGAAAAGCTTGAGTGCCTCTGAGCAGCTTAAGAATGACGGAGAGCAACCCTCCTCCGGCTAACCTCAACACAGATGCAGCCAACACTGGGCCTACCACACCACGCAAGGGGCCTCCAAAATTCAAGCAAAGGCAAACAAGACAATTCAAAAGCAAGCCCCCAAAGAAAGGAGTAAAAGGGTAAGAGAAAGGCGACTGAACAGAGAATTAGCTACATAAATGCTTATTAAGGCTGTGCAACACCAGCCAGTCCTCTTGTTAGCCAAAGGGACTAATCTATTGCTTTGTAAACCTACTGCTTTAGGTTTGGGGTTGTTTGGGATTACCTTTCAGCAATTCCTTGCAATCCAGGCCCTCTGGTTAATTATAAACAGGGCTAAGAACCCCATGTAATGCTTCTCAGCAAGGTGGAATAGGTAACGGGCAAAAACGCTTAATGTAGGTGCCTGAACCATCAAGGCATGATGACAATAGTCACAGGTGTGTAACACCCTGTTGTTAGAGTGACGGGAGTTGGAATACTGCCAAGACATATAGGAATTAGCTAGAGATGATTTACTTCAATCTTCCCTGCTCTCCAAAAATATGCTAATTTGGGGCTCTTTGAAAATTACAGAAGCATGGTACCCTACCTGTGCTAAAACTTTAATTTCTGCATGAAATTGTACACTATGAATGTCCCTAAGTTTGTGAAAGCAGAAGTTAGTGCTGTTGACCTTGTGCTAAACTTGCATGTATGTGTACATAAACCTTACATCATAGAAATGCCAAAGGTCTCCAAGGAATTGCCTCTATGAAAAGTGAATCCTTCATAAGCACCCCCATTGCTTCGAAGTGGAATGTGCATGTACAAATATGTATGGTGGTGCAATTAAATGGAGCCAGTACCTGTTTGGGTTGGGGGGGGGGGATGAGAGGTTTAATGAAAATCAGTCGTATTAGAGAAAACAGAAAAGTAAATAAAAGTCTTCTTGGGAGAGATTTTTATAGTTTAAAGATATACTGGTGGATCCTCAGATTATATTTTGAAATCAGATACAAAGATCAATGTGGATTACGTGAAATGACTGTTAAGCCAGAGCCACTGATGGATGATGTCATTGGGATATATAACTTACTATGACCATTTGGAGTAAGACAACAGGAAATGAGAGAAATTTACCCATCCTGAAAGAGTTGGGGAAAAAGTGTCTCCACGGAAACTTTATCCCCAATCCTTGTTTTTACATCAAGCCATTTTTTTCAAAATCCAATTACCAGAGTCAGAAAGTGAGGTTAAGTCTTCTGGAAAAGGGGCACAGATAGCAAAATAAACGCCATAGGGGCGTTAAGCCTTCCCTATACTATCCAAAGCTTATCTATCTATCTATCTATCTATCTATCTATCTATCTATCTATCTATCTATCTATCTATCTATCTGTCTATCTTTAATTGAAGTTACACTTTAAAATATAGTGTATTTTAGTGTATTCCGACTTTGATAGATTCTGTAGGTTTGTTCTTAAGTTGAAATTCTATATTGTTCGTAACTTGGGGACTGCCTGTATAAGATTACAAAACCATTTTCAGATCACACGCAAAAATTAAGCTAATTATGAGTCATAAAGTATGTCATTCCACAAAGTTGCAGGTTTTATTTTTCTTGGATGATAAAGTATGTAGGTTGACCTTAAATGTCACTGTGGCCCAGCTTATGGTAAAGTTGACATGAGTGACATGAAAGAAAGACTGCAAAGAGAAGCCATTGAAATCCACAAGCATGTGGACAATTTCAACAGAAAGGAAGAGACCATGAAAATGAACAAAATCTGGCTACCAGTATTAAAAAACTCTAAAATTACAACAGCAAAACAACAGAGAGGAAACAACCAGGCACATCTTAACACCTCTCAGCAAGAGATTTTTCCAGGCTCAGGCAGGCCTTCAAATGCTAATGAAGGTGGTCAGTTGAAACATTCACACCTAGCTCTAGCAGAGAAAAGCTCTTTGCCCCACCCCAGCCATTCCACAGATATATAAACCCATTGTCCTAATTCCAACAGACCGCACTACCTCTGAGGATGCTTGCCATAGATGCAGGCGAAACGTCAGGAGAAATGCCTCTAGAACATGGCTCTATAGCCCGAAAAAACCCACAAGAACCTAGTGATTCCAGCCATGAAAGCCTTCGACAATACAGTGCTTGTTTTGTTCTGCAGTGTTTTTCAACAACAGTGCTCTTGCAATTGTTCACTATGGCACCAAACTAAAAGGATATACATTTTGTGAGCAGAAATGCCATTAGCCGTAAGTTTCTGGGTGTTTCTAGACAGTGGGGTTCTACCAATCAAGACATGACAAAACTATGTCTTTTACTCTTTAACATATCATTTTATGGAAGGGGAGAAAAAAGATGAATGAACACAAATGAACAATTAAAAATGCAAGGTAGTAGCGTCTAGACCCCTTCCCTTACTAAAGTCTTTCTGTGAGAAGAAGCTTTACTTGGAAGCAGAAACCGCCAGTTCACTCACAGTGATAAGACCTTTTTTATGGGCAGATCCTTATTCTCTGATCTAAACGGATCACATGTACCAGAATGTGAGGAGATTATATTCTATTTAAAGCTGGGCCATTTGTCTTTGGATTTGTAGTTCCACCTGTTCATAATCCCAACACTTAACATGCAAAACAAGGACAGGCCAAATACAGGAACTCACTAATGGGAAGAGAGGGGAAGAGAACACGCAATTCAGCTGAATGACTTGATCCTTCAATTAGTGCAGCTCTTGACTAGCTCATTCCCTTTCATGTTGTTATTCTCTTCTCAGGGTTATTGTTGCTGCTGTTCTTCTTCTTAAAATATTGATGCATAAGCAGGTCCTCATTATCCTTCCTTGTCTTAGATGAACCACATCTCACCTCTCCTTTGTTTTTTGTTGGTTTTTTTCTGTAGCTTTGGAGATGATATCCCAGGAATGGAAGGGCTTGGAACAGGTAAACAAGATAAAATATTGCTTTGAGTTTTGCCTTTGTGGGAAGAATGCAGAAATAGTAGTGTGCTTTGGATTAATCCACATGGTGAATAAAGTAGGGTGGATTGTTTTCCTGTTTTTTATCTGAAAAGATTTGCCAGATCATTTATAACAGATGAGATCATCTCACCCCCCGTTTGCTGCTTCTGAGAATAGCAATCCACATGTTTCTAAAGGTTTTGGATGATTGGCATAATGAACAGCTCCGCAGACCCAAACCTAATTATTTTGCTACTTAAGGACAATCACCAAATAGTGCCCCTTCCCATCCATTTTTGATATAAATCAGAAGATCCCACACACATTTTCCCCTTCACCTAGTACAACTGAAGTAACAAAGTAAAGCCCATTTCCTGCCCTTTTAACATCTGAGATAGTTGAGAGAGTACGAAGAATCAAGCCCTGGTCTCCGGAACCATAGTCTAGCACTCAAGCCACCTCTGAAATATGGCACTGGTAGTGAGTTCTATAGGTACCATGGATTGCCTGAAATAAACAGATCCTAGATCCAATCAAGCCTAAAACAGAATTTAAAATAACTAAATTGAGGCTATAACTGAGATAATTATAGGGAGTGGACAACCTTCCTACTAAAACAGCTCCATTGGCTGCCAATGTTTCCGGTCCAATTCAAGGTGCAGGCTATCACATACAAAGCCCTAAACATTTCGGGTCCTATCTATCTTCATGATCACATCTTCCCCTAAGAATCTGTGTGGGCTTTATGATCTGCTGAGGAGGCCCTCCTCTCACTCCCGCCTCCGTCACAAGCACAATTGGTGAAGACGAAGGAGAGGGCCTTCTTGGTGGTGGCCCCCTGGCTCTGGAACTCTCTCTCTAGGGAGATTACATTAGCGTCCACCCTGTCCACATTCCGTAAAGACATCAAAATTTGGATGTTTCAATGTGCCTTTGATTAATTGGTCCATCTATTGACTAGGCCCCCCAGTCCTCCTCATTGTCTGGCCTTGTAGCACTTTATTACCCACCCTGCTCTTAACAGCTGTATTGCACTAGCCCTTGCCTGGCCCTTCTAGATCAGAACACACCAACTGTTCTCAGTTACTGGTTGATGATTATAGCTCTTATGTTTTTATGATGTCTGTTGTTTGGTTCAATTGTTTTAATTATTGAAATGTAGTGTTATATTTTATTTCTGTTTCTGTTGGGCTTGGTCCCCATGTAAGCTGCCCCAAGTCCCTTCGGGGAGATGGTGGTCGGATATAAGAATGAAATTACCGTTGTTGTTTTTACTGTTGTTGTTGTTGTTATTATTATTATTATTACCAACATGACTCATTAGTAAACACAATAATGCTTGGCAAAATTGGAGGCAGTAGGAAAAGAGGGACACCATATTATAGGTAGAACTCAGTAAAAGAAGCCATGATCCTGGATTTGCAATTCTTTTTTTTTTCTTTTTATAATAGGCTGCCTTAGAGGTCTCTCGTACATAATAGTTGCCATAAACTGAAGTCAACTAAAAAAATATTTATTGTTTCTATCTTTTGCAGATATCACTGTGATTTGTCCCTGGGAAGCATTTAGCCACCTGGAGCTTCATGAGTTGGCGCAGTTTGGAATTATCTAAGCACCCCCAATTTTTGCTTGTGTATTTAGTGACATTGGGAGTTCTGGAACAGTTCTTGTCACCCATAACACTTATTCCTATCGTCCATCCAGAATGTTGGCATCATACAGAAACAGATTTCTTTATGAGTCAGTTATGACCAACTGTCGTTTTGATTTACCTTTGCAAGAATTAGGAAATGCTGCTAAAATAACCAATTGGTTCATCAGTTAAGAACTTGGAAAACATCAGGATATTCTTCATGTAAAATAGTATGAGCTCTTTCTCCCTAAAATAATCCATGTATGGCACGTCTCCATTTGTGATCCTATATTTCTTTTGTATATATTAAAAAATCTTGCCCATAATTCTCCATCTTGTGAATGTGTGTGCCTATGCAGGCAATCCTGGATTTTTCTGCAGTTTAATCCAGTCTTAAACCCCACACTAATCGCTGTATGCAAATAGCCACAAGAGCTAAGGTAACTAATAGCTTATAACAAACAAACCAAAAAGAAACATCTTAAAGGTTGCAAAAATATCCCATTATGCCAGAAAAATACTTGGGAACCTGTTGTATTCTGTGGGCAGGAAATATCACTAGAGGCAACATGTTTCTAGCCATAACTTTTCATTTTTCTTGGGTCACGTTTTAATAAAGTTAATTGCAAGAAATTAGCTTTAGTCTTGAAGACATTAAGAACACTTTTATTTCACATCAGCTGGGCATTGCAAAGACTCCCAAATGAAAGTCTGGTTTGATTATTAACTCTATATAGCCCCAGTTGTGGCTTTCATTGCTGGAATGAATGGTAGTTAAGAAAATATGGGCACTCCCTACAGTAAGTCTGGATATCTTATATATGTTTACTTGGAAATAAGTAACCATGAGTACAGTGGGACTTACTTCAGAGTAGTCATACATGAGATAGCATTTTAACTTTCTTGGAAACAACAAGTAGACTGTTCCTCTGTTATAATAATAATAATCTTTATTTTTATCCTGCTCTATCTCCCCGAGGGGACTCAAGGTGGTTTACAATAAAAATGGGCAAAAATTCAATGCAAACGAACATAACAAAACAGATCAAATCATAAACAAATCATCAACTGAGCTCTTCAGTTGCTGGATTAGATGGGTTTTCATTTTAAAACAGATACGTTTTTATTTATTAATATTGCTGCATCTTGTTTTCAACATATCCTGTAACTAAACTCTGAAAGCTGCTTTGCAGACTGCATGTTCTCTACATGTATACACTTGATTTTAAAGGGAAACTATATACCCATCAAGTTTGAAGATCATGTGAGTATCTACTTTGCCACATGTATATGATAGAAGATAGAAACATGATTGGTTTGCACAAGATAAATTGTATGTGTTCTTCTATGCCTCCTTATGCCTATGTATATGTCGAAATCAGGGGAAAAAATCTTGTGTGAAGTAGCCACAGTATCAGCAAAGAGACTCACATGACTGGAAGAATGTTTGTGGGAAGGAAGTACTTTAATTCCTTTTTGTTGTTCTCACATCCCGCCCTGGACTTAGTCCCTGACAGCCCAAGATGATGAATAACATTGGTTGGAATGGCTGTGGAAAGCTCTAGGAGAAATCCTTCCTTTATCTGGGAAATAAATCCTTCCTTTGTTTGCCATTTGATATTAAGATGGGGAGTTGTTATCTTACAAACATTTGTAAGGGCACATCTACACTGGGCACATCTACACTGACCACTTAGGTTGATGTGAAACTGGCAAAGGAGGAAGCAGTTTCAGCAGAGGGGTAATAGCACAGGAAGCCTTGGAACTGGGTTGAGGCCTGGATTATTTTTATATGCCACCGCAGAGATTGGCTTCAATCTGATTCCAGGATATCCAGTATTCACGACTTCACTGCCATAGAGGATTTATTTCTTCCAGCTCTCCTTGCACCAGTACACATATGTGGTTCAACAAAGCACCTGTTCCATAATCGGTTTTGCTATGTGATTTACACTTAGGCTTTATTTCCGAGTATCCCTCAACTTTACTGATCCTTTTTTAAACCCCTTAATGCCTTGATATTGCGCTATCAAGGTGTTTTCAAACTGCATTAAATGGCCAGTGTAGATGTGCCCCCTGTGAGTCCTACTTACTATATCCTACTACTTCAGATGTCTGACTTACACTTGATGCACAGAGAAGTAGTCTGCATTATTGCTGTTAGGCATCAGCTTCTGTATAGCACACCTATCAAATAAAATACAATAATATGTCAAGTCTGGAAGTAAAAATGTTACGCTTCACCTCTTCAGGCTAAAGTGAAAATCAGCAAGTCAGCTTTAGTCCTGCTTTCAGTGCTATAAGCCAGATGCTGACTATAGCAATAGGAAAGAAAATTACACAGCGCTTAGTATGCTAAAGCAAACAAAAAAAGGAATTGTTCCACAATCATTACTCTTAATAAAGTGTGCACAACATTTTCATGCACTATTGCTCCTAATTTACTCAGCTTTTTCGTTAAAGAACAGCTTATGCTGTTTCTTCTTGAGATCCTTCCTGACTGTACTTTTACTTAGATTTAAAATGGACTTTTATTTCATTATCTTCAGTTGTGTTTTTCCTGGTTTTTTCCCTTCTTTGATTCTGCTTTCTCTGAAATTCTGTTTTATATGCCCTTGTTCTCTATTTTGCATTGATGGACAGATTTTCAAAATTAATGTACTTTGCATCATAGCTGAGGGAGTATGTCTGATTTTTGCTATCAGTCAACAAAGAAACAGAATGTTTGCTTCAATAAAAAAACTTCACTCTCTGTAAACAATATTGAACAACATATTAAAACAATGAGTATTAAGATAGGACCTAACTTTTTATAATGTTTTCCATGTAATAATGTCCAGATTTCTTTCCTTGGTCTGCATGCCCCCTTTGTGGATGCTCCCCCTTAACAGATTTTATTATTTCTGACTTGTGTAACCTGTGCCTGCTGATCACTTCCCCTCATGTACAGATTTGAGTTTGTCTACACTAGGACCAGCAAGTAGAGAATTAGTATATATGACTGGTACAAGAAATATCAGTAAAGTATAGAATGGATACTTAATATATTGCCAAGAGTGAGAATATCTGTCAGTCATCAACAGGGGAATAGACTCTTGTTAATCACAGTGGCTGCTGCCCAGTAAAGGGAGATTGAGGTGGGATGCACTAACACTGTATACATCCCCAATAGATTTCAACTGATTATTATAACTGAAAGATAAAGAAAACCCATCTCACTATAGTGGGCAAAACTGACCAGCAGACCCATACATCTCCTTGTGCAGGAAGATGTATATATTCCTTCAATTATTGCTAAAGGTTGTTAGCACCATACCTTTAATTCATTTTTATTCCAACAATTAAGGAAAAGTGTCTTTTTTTAAAGATTACTACCATGTGATTAATCATATTCTGCAGGGAGGGATATGCTTCTTTTATGTATGTTTTGTTCGTGAATCCATGCTCCCTGCAGTTTGAACAATAGCACTGGGAAACTGCTATTTTGAAAACAAGCTCTATATTTAATATTCTGTCAAAATGTCATAGTACATATCCTCCATCCTAGATATATCCTTATCCATTTACTATAAAATGCAAAAATGAAATAAAACATCGTTTAAAATACCTTGAGTACGGCATGCATTTGATTCCTCTTCTTAAAGCAAGTGCATTTTCCACAAAATATAGGAATGGTTCCAAATGTTAATGTGTGCATTTAGGCTAGTGCATGTGCTAAGTGAATATTTATACGAGTTATAGTTAAGTTTTTCCCAGCTCCATCCTGTCACCCTACTCTTTCTTCAACGAAAAACAAACAACCAACAACAACAAAAACCAGAAAATTTCCAGAGATTACTTTAATAATAAGGGATAATTTTCCCATTATGTCTTGGTGTGTATTCTGCTATATAATGTCTCCAGTTATACACTCAAAGCACATGTATGAGTTCAAACTATTACTCAAGAGACTATAAGGGATGAGTGGCCCTGACAGTCAATAAACGACATCCACACAGAGCTTTATAAATTGGAATGTTCTTAGACATGTACAAGAATAAAAATATACACAATTATTGCACACTACAGCAGAGCTTCATAAATGGCATACACAACAGGGGAAACACAAATAACGAATTAGTTGGAGCACTGCTGCTTCAGAATGGGGACATAATAACTCAATCAAACAAACTTGCAAGGCCAAGAGGGCTGGGGTACGAAATCAAAGGCTCAACGGTTACAACGAGGAGACATCGGGGTACACACTGGAGAAAATAGGAAGGAGTACACACCTGGCACAGAGAGGGAAAGATGAAGAAATTGAGAGCCTGCCATACCCAGTGGGGATCCCTTACAGGACCTTGGGAGGTGAAGAAAACTCAGATAAAACAGCCTTATATCCACATGATGGGGGGGTTTATGCCCAGGTGGCAATTAAATACTGTCACTCCAAGGGTTCCTAGCACATGGCTAGGTTTACAGGCTTCATTGGGCCCAGTGCATGAACCCAATCCCATCAGGACCAAGCCTGATAAAGCTATAAGTAATAAAAATTATGGCCATTTTTCATACAGATACAGATTTTGCCATTTATTTGTTGAACTGATACCACCATTAATTAATTATATTAAAATTTAATTAATTCATATATTTTAAAACCTGAAGCCTCGAGAGACTAGCAGGAAGCATTTTTACAGAGCCAATACATATCCAAGTACCTAAAAGGCAGAGGGGTATATAAATTACTGCACTATGCAGGTTTTAAAGAAATCAACATCTACCACACTGATAACCCCATCTGAAGAATTAAATCTGATTGCAGAGGTACTTACTTTCCCAAATAAATATGTTAAGGGTTACAGCCCTTTATACTCAAATAATATCTGATCATGCTGCTTATACATCAGCCAACATTAGTGGATGATTCATTAGTGACTAGCAGATTGAAAGCACAATGTAGGCAATGTACAGGAAGAGATAATGTTGCAATGGCAGGTTCCTCTGAGAATATATTATGTCATTATCATAACCCTGTCACTATGGGCACCGCAGGAGCTAACAAATAATTGATGAAGGACCTTTCCATGATTGTTCTTTGCAGCACACTATCCATCCCTGGATATAGGAGTGAGGTACTGAAAATATTAGAACAGGAAGGATAGTACATAAAATCAAGTAAGAATACAAATGGTAAGAGAGCAATCTTTGATGCTGTTAAGTTTAAAAATACTAGACCTAAGAGAAAAAGATTACAAACTGATGTAGGTTTTTGCAGGAAAAAATATTATGGGTATGTATATATGTAAATATGGTTCATCAGAAACACATATTTTTTCCCTGCAAGAACTTGAGTAGGCTTGTAATCTTCCTTCCTCTTAGTGTGTGTATATATATGTGTGCGCGCACACACACACATACAAAGTAAAATGGATCATGCTACTATTGATCATCCCTGACCTTTATGCTGCATTGTGAGTAAATGCATTTTAACAGCTTGGTGCTCTAAGCAGAATGCTAAGCAACTTTCTCAGAAAAATGTCCCTGGCGCTTCAAGTCGGCTCAGTATCATCATGCACCCAAGTTACTACTTTGCGCTTACCATATGTCACAATGAGATATCTATGGCTGGAAAGTGAGGTGGATGTGTTTCCTTCTACATTTCCAAATCTGAATCATTCCATGGTTGTTGCCAGCTCTGCACAAGAGCAGAGTATGAAGTTCTTCATGAAACAAAGTCTTGGAAAGAAAACGATCAAATAGGTATTCTGATACTACATATTACTCTATGCAAAAATGTTTGACAATTTTTCTGTTCTTGGTTTGAAAGTGTTATTTTTGTTTAATTGTGATGTACTTACTTTGAAACTAGTTGTTATACTCCAGAAACGTTGTGTTTGTGGTTGCCACAAACTATGTTGAATTGATTGAGACCCGTTCAGTTTTAACAGTTTTAGCAAAATGTGCTGGAGTATGTCTCACAAAAACAGTTTCATAAGCTTTTTCCATGTTTTAATGATAGACCCAATTAGGAAATGACATTTATAACCCAGGAATGAAGTGTTACATAGTGTTATTGGCAACTATCACTGCTACTTCCATTTTGTTTATTTACTCATAGAGCTGTACAGCAAGAAAGGTAAGTTGATTATTTAACAAATGTCTATTTCTCATCTGTAATTCACTTTCATAACTCACAGATATTTATTTTTCAATGCAACATACTAAACCTTTTGTGTTCTTTTGAATAATAGCGGGGTTTGAGTCCCTTCAGGGAGAGAGGGTGAGCTATAAATATATTATTTATTTTTGGGAGATAATTCCAAAGGGAAAGGAGTTAAAAGTCAGAAGACAGCTTTAAAATTATCTTTTTTTCTTCTTTTTTCTTTGCTGGCATCAGATATTTATAACATTGCAGGAATAATAAGAAATATTTATATCTCAATTCTTCAGTGTTTCGAGTAGAAAGGCATGCTTTGTAATCATAAAGCACCCTGACATTAACTCATCCTGAACATTTGTGAAATAGTTTCCTGAGTAATCCCCCCCCCCCAAAAAAAACTTTAGACATCTTGTTACAGGGGGCATCACTCAGCCAACTCAATGCTGTCAGGTATGTTCAGTTATATCTCTCCTTTTAGTCTCAAAAACTATTATTAGCATGATACATATTGTACTGGTACAAGTAGCATCGCCATTCATGTATTTTCAGATAACTCACAAACACACACACACACCACCCTACAAAAAAAGGACATCTTTACCTAATATTCTCAGGGTATTTTTGTTCTTTTTCTCTGGTTTTTAGTATTTAAACTTGCTAAAGGTTGAGCATTTCTTATCAGGAATTTCAAAGTCCCCCTTATGCACAAGGCTTGGCTGAGATAAGTACACCAGGCCTGGAACAAGTTGGGCCCTCCAGGGGTTTTGGACTCCAACTCCCACCATTCCTAACAGCCTGAGGCCCCTTCCTTTTCCCCCTCAGCTGCTTAAGGGGAACAAGAAGGGGCCTGAGGCTGTTAGGAATGGTGGGAGTTGGAGTCCAAAGCACTTGAAGGGCCCAAGTTTGCCCATGCCTGGGTTATAGTATGATAGCTGGGTCCGGAAGCTCGGAGCGTTATGGAGATGCCACAAAGGTGGCTGTGAATAAGGGAAGAGAGGGGGCAGAGTAAGAGCGGGGAGAGCCAAGGAAGGATAGAAAGGAGGGGACACAGGGTAAGGGTTAGGACAAAGTTTAGGGTTTGGGTTAAGGTTAGGGTAAATGGTTATGGTTAGGGTACAGTTTAGGGTTAGGGTAAGGCTTAGGGGTTGAGTTAGTGTCAGGTTTAGGGTTTGGGTTACGGTTAGGGTAAGATTTAGGGGAAGGGTAAGGTTTAGGGTTAGGGTAAGGTTTAGGGTTTGGATTATGGTTAGGGTAAGGGTTTGGGTTAGAGCAGGGGTCCTCAAACCTTTTAAACAGAGGGCCAGGTCACAGTCCCTCTGTAAGGAAGCGTAATCCCACCTAAATGGGATTACCAAAATTAAGTAAATATGTATGTTGATCCACCT